ATGATGGCAAATGGTTCCGCAACAACCATTTCTAAGGCCATTTCTAATCTTGTAATAGCCATTGAGTGATTTGTTAGATTGGCCGCCACTATATCGGCAGAGGAGAAACAACGGAGTGGCATTCTCAAGAAGTTTTATCGTGAAAACTAATGGGAATTGATGCTGTATTTATTGACACTGTTTTGGAAATATAGAATTTTATTAGAAGTTTGATATTACTGGATATCGTTGATATTTACAAGGGGTTGACAGTTCATCAAGATTTCATTGAAATTATACTTTGATATCTAAATATTGAAATTCAAATTATTATGTAATAGATTAATTTTTATTTGAAAGTGACAGTGTGAATCTCATCAATAATATCAGTTATATTACCACAGTGTAAGGAGTAATAAAAAAGAATAAAAATAAATGAAAAAAATTAAAAATCAATCGTTTTTATTTTTATTGGATTTATTGTATTTTCATTTCACGTTTTCATTGGTTGATACAATTGATATTTTAGCTTTTCATTTCAATTTTATTTGTTCTCTCATACATTTCTGATCATATGAGAATTATATTAGACAATAGAAGTCCAAACTAGTATAATAATAGTATAATAATATTTTACGTCAAGTGTCTGGTAATTGTCTGGTAATAGAGTACAAATATAAACGAGTTCAAAACCTAACGGCATGTATTGAATTATATTTTATTTCATTCAGTCTGTTCATAATATTTTATGAATGAATTGAATTGCAAATTCTGTCAGTTTAAAATTATAATACCAATAATAGTCTAGCAAAGTTAATGAAAAATGATGACTAGGAAGAGTCATAAGCCATAATTTTTCAATATTTTTTCATAATTATATGACATTTTACTGACATTTACTGTCTTTAATAAATGAATATTATTTTAAAATATTCCTGATATGTGTCAAAGAAATTGTATGTACAGTATTCTACTCGCGAGAAATAGCCGGTTCTAGATTGAATGATTCTGACTCGTTGAATAATATACTATTACTTTCGTCCTTCGAATAGTCAATGATCCATTTCTCAAGTTCTTTGAGGCCACTCAAAAATGAGTATATTCATGATTTGAGTTTAATTATTTTCAATCGCAGGTGAGCCTTAATAATTTACCTACTTCAAATGTTCCACTGTCATTTACCTACTTCTCAAATGTCATATCTAATCAATGAACTGTCACTTAGTTTAGAAAAAGATAATTTCTAACGAACAACAATAATAAATACTGTACCTCAGAAAGTAAAATAAGTTTAGTCACTTGATGGAAAAACAATACTAATTTCAGAAACGCATATAGCTTTATATTTCCTACTAAAGAGTTTGATAGGCTTGTTGTAAACCAATGGTCGGAGTTTTTCAATATTCCTAATGTTCAAAATCCCCATTTTCTTTAGTAATGGCTATATTTTTCGATTGTTGCTTTTGCTTATCGCAAAACTAATGTATTTTACTATATTTCATGAATAAGTAATTTCAATTTGATGAATAGTTATTTTGATTGATCAGCGGTAATTTTATTCCTGAATATTATTCATAAAGTTCCTTGAGTTAGATTAATTTTGTAATAAGTTATCGATTGAAAATATTTTCTTCCGAATGAAATTTGAATGAAGTGAAAATATCATGAATCCGTTCAATCAGATAGTTAACTCAATTTCGATACTAAAATTTATTTTTCTCTCCCATATTAGTCGAACTTTTAATATCTGATGTCCATCGAAATTGAAATCGTCAAAATTCTGACGGTTTCTATGGATATTTCTAATAATCATTCAACAGTACCATACTTTTCTGCAGATAATTGATTCCTACAGTTCCACGACAAAATATTTTGAAATTATTGAAATACTTCTATAGAATTATAGAATTTAAATTACCCATAAATGCATTCTGGCTATTTTGAAATTCAATATCTAATTAGTTATGTTATAGGTAGTTAGAAGAATTATCGAAATGGACCTACCATAACATTATTAGAATTGCTAAAGTGTACTTGAATTTAAAATGATTCCGAAAAAAAAATTACATAAATATAAAAAGCATGGACAAAAATATATATGTATAAATATGAAAAGAAGCTTTTCGGAGAGAATAATCCAGAGATTAATCCAGTTTTGAAAAATGTTTTCGATGGTGTTATATTCTGTAATATAAATGTTAGTTTTGATAGTTAATGACATGATTTTGAAAATTGACATTTTATGTCAAAAATAATAAGAATTTCATAAAGTATTTTAACACATTCATAGTGCCAAATAACATATATGATGTTTTGATTCAAGTAAGAACTTCCTAAAAATATTTTTTTCGAGGAGACGGTCTCGGTGACAGGTATCCATCATGTCTTCACAAAATTCTATTCTTCTATCTGGATCATCCTCGTTTAATTCCTGTAGAAGTTCGATTTTGAAGGGATGCCATTTTTCCAATTTCAATACTTTGTGTACAGTTGTTTTACTGACATCAAAATCACGAGAAATGTGCACAAAAGCTTCAAAAGCAGGTAGCTGACCGAGTTATTTTTCATTAAATGAGTTACACACTTCCATCTGAGTTCGCGATCTGTCCCCATAGCCAATCATCATAAGTATTTCAATTTTTTGCTTTACACTTAAATTCAATACTACTTTACGTTAATTCGAAGCAATACTACAGAAAATTCACGAATTAATAGAACAACTACTGTCCCATTTGACAGTTACTGAACGTCAATCGAAATATTGACATTTCACAATAACAAAAAAAACAAGCCGCCTAGTTTTTTGAAATTAATAAGAAATACTTGTTAACATGGTTACTGTCAAGTACAGCAAGGACTACAGTTCGAACATTTAAAATGAAGTACTGTATTTATTACTGGATTGTTAAATTGAGCATTAGAAAAAATATAAAATTATTAATTAATTTCTGCTTTTATTATATATCAATAAAATGTATTTTCTAAGCGCACATCTTTCAAATTCTGTTCGTTAGATTCCAAGTATCAACCTTTTCCAAATCAGCTCATTACGGATTATCTAAAACTGACACCAAATACAGGGTGTTGCATTTAAAAAAATTACCGATGACGTCATCACATTAATATGGAACACCGTGTATAATGTAAAACGACCTTTGGTTTTGGAAATATCGAATTTATTCCATACTTTGCGGACACACTGTATTATTCAAGCCTTCTATAAATATAACGTTATATCTACTGTATTTTGAGTTCCTTATATTGTTAGCGAAAATACTGATAAAGTAATGGTTAGTTTTGGACATTTCTGAGAAATTGAAAATTTGATTCTGAATATATTCAATCACCGACAGATTGAAATATTTAGCAAATGTCTAAGAATTTTATAGTTCGTCGATTTTCAAAATCAATGAAGATATTATTTGCTATGCTTTCTAAATGATATTACAAGAGAGAAGAAATTGGTGAATTGGTCATCGGAAAGTGTTATTTACAGATCTTGTCATAGTCACTGACATGTCGTGTATTAATTTGGAGAAGTAGAAGAAAAAATTAATATCATATGAATTTCTCATGCATTTCATGAATGTCTATTCCATAACAAGAAAGTGATGAAGTAACAAGATTTACCTTCACTCACATTTAATCTTCCCAACTAGTCACAAACATGGAATAACAACTTCACATGTGAAACTATTGCATAACACACTTCATTTAGTGTCATTCCCATCACACAAGGCACCAAACTACATGTTAACATTTCAAGTTTATACTATAAACTGATACAACATAATTTTCCATGAATGTTCACCCAACGACGGAATAACCTGAAAAAGTGTTTTATAACGGCTGTTTAGAGCCCAAGTTGATGAACAATAAAATTTATTTTATGGTAACAACGTTTTACAAGATATTGTTACGGTTCCGAAAACCCTTTTGGCGAAAGTTAAACACTTTCTTGATTTCTCTTCAATTCTTCACTTTTTTACCTATTTAAAAAAAGGGTTTTACAGCGCCCCTACGACAATAAAAAAAGAAAGTTCGCTTCGGGAAACTTTTTATTACCTACCGAATATCCAAAGGGTTTACTCAACAAGATAATGAAGTTTTTAGAAGCGGAATTTGTTGTGAAAGTTTTATCAGTGTTTGAGGAATAAAGGAAAACTATAGAGGATGTACGTTTTGCTTTGAAAACAGTCTCATTGTCCATTCCAAACTTTTAACGTCTTTTGATAACTGTACTTTCTTGTAGGGGTTGTTAGAACAAATTTTTGAGTTTATATAAAAAAGTAATCCAAATAGTGATTCGTTTATTTGAAAACGATTTTATTCAGAAAGCTTATTTCATTTCAATGTAATATAGTAAATACTTCTTATTCTCTTTAAAAATATGAAGTATTGGTGAAGTAAATTCTTTCACAAAATCTGCCGTTCATATTTCCTAGGTTTATATCAATTTTTACAACGAAATTTACTTATAAGGCTTCATTGGATATTTTGAGACTGTTTACCAATATACAGGGTATCACGTAAAATCGTAGTAAAAACTATTGCTTTTCATATTCGGATTCCCTCAGAAAAGTTTTTTTGTAAAAGTATAGGTCAGGTGTGTATTCAACAATCCCCATTCGAAAAAAACTCCCTTGAAGGGTTTGTTTTGTTATTGAGATATTTTAAAAATGTTAATTTTTCTATTAACAAATAATAACTTATCAAAAATTATTTTTGTAATCTAAAGTCGATCTAATTTCCCAACCGCCCTGTAGATCTCTGATTATCGTCCAATGGATTTTCTTATCTGCAAACTTTCTATTTAAAGTCGTCTTACTTTCAAGTTAAAATTCAAATTGTGATCACAAAAGTTTACTGAGTTTTCTATTCCAGATTTCATGTAAATAACATTTAATTAAAATGTTGCTTCCGCTGTATAAAAATTATTTTTCATTGTTTTTTTAATCTTATGAAATATATGAGCGCAGTGCGTAGGATATCACTTTCTATATCATATACTCTTGTTTCAGGTCCAAATGGTTGTCCAAGAAGGAGAGGCAGACAGACGTATACCCGTTTTCAGACGTTGGAACTTGAAAAAGAATTTCATTTCAACCATTATCTAACGAGACGAAGACGCATCGAAATAGCGCACGCTCTCTGTCTGACAGAGAGACAGATAAAAATCTGGTTTCAAAACAGAAGGATGAAACTCAAAAAAGAACTTCGAGCTGTAAAAGAGATAAACGAGCAGGCGAGAAGGGAGAGAGAGGAACAAGAACGCCACAAGCAACAGCAACAAGAAAAACAACAGAAGATCGAACAGAATCACTCGTCGATCCACCACCACCACGATCCAATGAAGATGAGTTTAGAGAAAACTGGAACTTCGGATCTGCTGAAATCCGTATCGAAAGTTCCCACATAAAAAAGATCGTTTGGTGGTTAGAGTTTATCTTTTTGTGTTATGTAGACCGAAAGTGAGGTTAGCTCGGGATTAAAACGGTTTGAAAAAATTCGGACTTCTCTGAAGCGGGTTTTTCGAAAATTTTGTTTTTGAGCTTCGTTGATTGTGTTTAATTCGTTGTAAATAGTAATAGTGTGTTCCCGTTAATATTTTTATACTTAAAGTAATTTTATTTCGTTTATTAAGTTTTTTATTATGATCGGATCAGATCTGAACTCATTCACGTTATTTTACGTACAATTGTTGTGATTAATCATTATTCTTTAAGTTTCCTCGATGATGCATTTCAAAATGCCACTTTTTTCTTGTTTACAGGTGGTTAATTTTAATTTTAGGTCCAGTATGAGATTGGGAATAATTTTCATTGAGAAAAAAGTTTATTTGACTACATGATTTTGTAGTTCAAAAAAAGCAATGCAGTTTTTCTGAATCGGGATCAGTATTTTTTTCGTTACGTTAAGTGCTGCTACAATTTAATTTTTGATTTCATTCATCCCAATTGACATATTGGCCACCGTACTGTTATTTGTTACTATTTTGATTTAACCTTGTGCCAAGCTTTACAAGCAATCCGCCATATGATGACAGAACGACGCATATATTTTTACAGTGAAATGAAACATTTCCAAAAACAGACTCAATGGCCGAGTAAGTAACTCTTAGTACTCTTATACGTAATTTGGTGTCAGGGTAGAACAATCTTAAAGTAACCTTCAGTAGAAAAAAAGAAACAGAATTACTTCTAGTGATTTCATAAATGCGTGAAGGATGGGTGAAATACATCTGTATCCATGGTCGGGTGGATTCTGATTCAATTGTTAGTATAGACCAGGACTTTTACATTTCGACCAATGAAACTGCAACCCGCTGAATTTTTTCCTTCGTTTCATGTTTTATTTTGATAGGGGGTTAACTTCTTTCATTAAAAGTCTAAAGATACAACAAAAATAATTCCAGAACTAACAGTACTACATAGTGAGTTGTTATCCTTATTGCTAGAAGAATGGTTCTTCACTTTGATTTTAAAAATAATGTTTGAAGAAAGTCACATTTCTTTCATACAGGGCCATATAAAGATATAAAGTTGAAACTATGCATATTAATATTTTCAAAAGAGCGTATGGAGAATATGCTAGAATTAATGTGTATAACAAATACTATGAAATATATTATGAAAAGAAACTTTTTATTTTTTCAATTTTGGCATTGTACAATCAGGATCATTTCCTTGTTTGATTAAGAAACTGAATTTGTATGTATTTCAATTAAGACGTTATACAACAATGTCGTTAATAACGACAATATTCTCAATTTTAAACAAATTGGTTGACTCTAATCACGCACGAGATGAAAGTACAAAAAATCAATTTCTTTTAGGGTATTATTATTAGCAGCTTATTTGAAATGGTGTAACAGGAAAAGTTTTGAATTGCTCATTTCTTATCTGATCTATGGGATCTTCAAAAAGAATAGGTACTATCTTTTTTAATATGCAATAGTAATATAGTGAAAATAACAAAGCTACGATGAAAGGAGCTATTATATCGTACAATTCCCTCTCAAAAAGGTCTAATGCTTTTTTCGTATAAATAGCCTTTTTTTGAAAAAAATTGACATATCCATTTCGAAAAATTCACCCTTCAATTCGTAATCCGCCACATAGATATTTTCTCATGTGCATTCCAAGGAATTCATTCACAAAATAATGTATTGAAGATTCAAGTTTATTGTTAGTTGACACAATAAAATAACAATGAAATTGGTCTCAAATGGTGAACTGGTCAATTCAACCTTCATTGAAATCACAATTCTTGATGAAATTGCAAAAATTATATATTTTTTGATCAATCTGGAGCATATTGAAGAAAAATTTTTTGGTTGTGATTTATATCTACATGTCTTCCTAAAATTATGTGTGGCTCGACATTACATTTTATCTGGTTTTCTGTATCATTTTTGATCTGACAGTAACTCAAGATTTTTTTTATTATAGCTTTTATAGCTCCTGAGATATTTTTACATTGAATTTTCAAGAAATGGTGATTTCTGCAAATACAAGCTATAGGACTTTTTTGTAGAGAATTTTGTAATAAACAAAAAGTTAACCACATTTCATCGTTCTGGAGTTATTTCTGGAAATGTGAAAAACTTCATGGATTTTTCTATACCTTTCAGGGGTTGCATTCAGGTTTTCTTACACTCTATAGTCCTGGACTAATCTATTTTTCATTCAAGTATTGTAGTTTTTGTTCGTTTCTGGGATGTCCCCAAAAATAAATTGTAAAATTTTCAATAACATATGACCTTAGCTTGCTATTGGAGCTGATATAATATCACGCTGCCCCTCTTTCAAGATCCAGTGAAACCCTAATAATGAATCCCTAACCGAAATTTACCTAATTTCCATGGTAAGGGAACGCATCTCACTGAGATAAACGAAATGGGATGAACGTTCGTAGGAAAATTTATTCAAGTATTCAAATCAGATGTATCCCATTCCCGATGATATCTTGGATTGAGGACGTATTTCACCCGTACACACCCTTAAATATAATAATAATAGTTTTGTCATGTATTCCCAATCGTCTATCGCGTGTAAAATATTTTCTTATAGATTTGAGATTTGGTGTTGTTTTGTGAATACTTACTATATAGTTCTATCGGGGCTTGGGAGCCTTGTCCACAATTATAGATACGTAAAATTGTACAATATTTCCAAAAACTTGAACACAATATGTAAATTTGATACATGTAAATTTTTCTGTTCGATATGTAAAAATATGAATGTATACGCGAACTAGAGTCGTTTTTGTTCTATTCTAGACGAATCGAGAACATTTATCCTGAATTCCGTTTTCGATTTAATTCGCAGAACTTGTGTAATTCCACAATCATTATCGAGTATGTGGTTTTTGGTTTATCGAATTCCATTATTTCATTAATTTTAACCGCAAGTAGTGAATCATATTTATTTTGTTAACTATTATGAGCAGTTCATTTTGAATGTCTATATTCTGTTTTTGTGGGAAAATACAGCGAAGTAATTTTTTTACTTGTTAAGGGTGCTATGCCTACTGAAAAATATTCAATTTGTTTTCCTCATCTATGTGGAGATCACATCAGTATTTCCTATTATCATTTATACTTGATAATGGGGTTGAGGTGAAACCCGAAACCGGTCATAAAAATAACTAATGGAAATTAGACAAAAATGTTTTTATTCATTTCATTAAAGTGATAATGAATTTACACAAAATAAGCCAGTCATCAGTCACACATACTTCTTGTGATACAATTTGAATAACTAAACTCTCATATTGATACCAGGAGAAACAAAAAAGTTATATCGGCCAGCCGGAATCGGTTTACACCCGGTATATTAATGGAAGAATTTTTGGTATCACTTCCTAAATCTTTTGCTTCTCAAGAAAATACACTTTATAATTTGGACTTATAATTGCCAATCATTTATATAATCAATTTTAGTTAACATGCTGTATTAACGTATTTTTATAAATATACATTTTTAGAACACAGATGAAATCATTATCAACTTTCTCTACCTACAGAGTTTTAGTTATATCCTTGTTAACTCTGCAACTGAATTTGATACACTGAACAAACTGAAATACAATAATGTTAAAATATATTTCTCCGTTAACCAGCTGTCGCACCCCTACGAACGACAACCCTCAGAAATCGAAACTTGTGTCAGCTATAGACTAGCGAGGTCGTACCTTTCAACGTATGATTCCTAACAATTATGTCATGAAATCATTGGAATTCAAAACCAAAAACATACCCATGCTTGGAATAATTCGAATCAGTTGAAATTCTGTTGCAACAAAAAAACTAAACCAGCAACAAGTTTCGCGAAAAAAATCTTGAAGTGAATCAATTCTATACGATTCTCTCTGATGAATTAATGAATTTCCTCCGTCGTTCCCCTTCTCTCATTCTCTCTCTCATGTTGTACAGAACAGTTTTGTGTAAATATTGATATATAGTGCTATACACGTAGACTTTGCCGTATTATAAATTCCTTATTCAAGCAACTTGGACTGATTAATGCTTTTAAGAAAGAAAGAAGCTTGTTGTTAATTGTAGAATAACTCACACTAGAATAAACAGTTTATTAGTAGTACAATTACCGTTAAAAACTTGCCGCGTATGGATTAACATACTGTAGTTATTTATATATCCCGTTGATTTTATATTCATTTCTTTGTTCAATTCCGGCCTTTTTGATTATGTGTGAATGTCTTGTTTGAATGAGTTATGCCGTATTTTACAAAACTCAATGCTATGTTTTTGTTGATATTGCGAAACACGATAGAAATATTTAATATCATTACTCGGTGCTTATAATTTTTTTTATTCTGCTTGTTTGTTTCTTTATACAATGCAATTAAAAGATAATGGTTTATCCGTTATGGTAATGGATGATTTTTTTTTTTCGTGAGTTACTGCCAATTCACAAGGATGGCGCTAAAAGACTTAGCATTTTCTTCCGGAAATGATCCTTTGACATGAAAATGTTACCCATCATTTCAACCCTCTCAAAGTGACGTTTGTGTAAACAGTAACTTTTTTAATAAAAATTGGATGATAAGATAACAAAATTGGTATTTAGCATGAAATTCTGTAATATCTTTATACTCATACTTTTTAGAAAATTTATTTCACTGTTGAATAAAAACTTCAGAATGGAAGAATAGCGAAATCAAACCACATAATGTTAAATAATATAATGATTTATGTTCGAATCTCTTCGAGTCTTCCTTCATGTCTATCAAATTTTCAACTGTTAACTAGTTTAGTGATCAAATAATATTTCTGAAGTAAAGGTGGTTGGAAAACAAGATCAATTTTCTCTTTAAAAAATCAATTGTTTTTTGGCAACGTTTCGAATTTAATTAAATTCTTCTTGAGGGCTCGAAATGTAGTTTCTTCGTGTTAAT